AGAAAGTATAATAGTACTTGAGAATCCTTAAGAACCCTAAGATACTAACTATCATGAGGTTACAATAAGATCCACTTCTAGGTGTCTTGACTGGGGATAGTGCCTATTGGTAGTCAACCTCTAAAGGAGTCAATCAAGGAAGTTATATGGTCATTATCCGTAATAATATAGAATAGGAGAAAACTGGATAGATATTCAGAGGCTGCAAAGGCTTGTAGAAGAGTAAGCGTACATGGGTAGAGAGCTCCATAGTTGGTATAGTATCTGCTCTGGCATGATAGCTTGCCACTAACATATTTATATTAAGAAGAAGTTTAACTCTTATAGTTGTATTGTAGATGTAATGGCTAAAACAATTCTGTCGGGTTGATATTAGCAAACTGCAGAGTAGTCTAATTCGCTATGAAGAATCTTTAGTCTAACCCGTAGAGGTTAGCTAGACAGTACAAGAGAGTTGGGTGCTGGCAAATACAAAGTAGTGATGGAGAGCAACTGGCAGTATATGAATTATATTTAAGTATTACTTTAATACTTAGTTTATTTTAAGTATTGTTTGATACCTGGTTTTGTTTTATATTTTATTTTAAAGTATTATTTTGATACTAAAGTAGTTTTATCAAATTGTATCGCTTGATATCTTTAATTAGTTTTATTCATACTGGACATGAGCAAGATTTGTATATTTAAAGACCACCTGATTCTACCATGGAAAAGACAGACTTTGACAGATAGTAGTTCAATATACTTGATTGAACAGTAACTCTTTTGTTTTCTCAGTACACCTTCGAAGCCTCTCTTAGTTTTCAACTCTAATCCCCTATCTAGTAGAGCTGACCACTTATTGAACTATCGTACATTTTCTCAAAATATAATACGAACCTTGCGAACATATTACATGTCCCAAGACTCATAATTAAGTCATGTACGAGACATAATAAATCATAATATAACCAATTATATGACTTCGAACAAGTCATATGTGTGAAACCCGGAACTCATAATCGAGTCATATGCAAAACTTGTCACATCTGTAACACTCCTCCAGTCCTTTTATGAGTCTCATACGTTCTTAGTAAGATTTTACACCATTGTGTCACATGACTATAATATCATTGAAACAAAGCTTTTTTCATAATACCATATTTATCACTGTCATCAGTCTAACCAGAAGCGGTTCAAGGGATATATCAGAGGGCAGCTCTAGATATCTCTGAGAATTTGAACAGAGGAAATCTGTAAGAGGCACATTGAGCTACTAGTCTTCAAAGCAAGGTATCCTCATTATAGTCTGAAGGTAATAGGATGTTTTTGTTGCGATATTCTGCAGCTATTCCCGCAGTACCCCAGAGGGCATAGGAGATAGAGTTGATACCAATACCTATTTGAAGTCTGCTGTATATTGGTTGGGCCTGGTGACAGGATCTCTCTGGAGGTGATCCTCTTGAAGACATGGTGGACCAAGAGGAAGCTGCTCAGATTCAGATAACCTAAAAGGTAATAGATATATAGCATTGGCATACTGTCTATTGAGCCTGCATTATGCATTGATGTCAGACACATAAACTGGACACTTTGTGTATTTGGAAGAGACAACTAGAACAATAGTCAAATAGACTGTTATTTCAGAAAAAGGTTTATTTGATTCTATAAACTGAAGAGCCTCAGTTGGAAGATAGAAGTGCATCTTCTGAGAATGAAGATTTTGTTATTAAATAGTACAAAGGTGGTGTGAAAAAATTTAGAGTCAAATAGCATTTGTACTTATTAAGACCAAGAACTATTGCATACAGACTAAAGAATGGTACTTAGTTGTATAGTAGTTAGAAGTAGTCTGTGAACACTCAAACGTGGGATATAAATGTTGAAGTATCTCACAAGCTTTACAGATATTATCAAGCAATAGAGAAGAGATCTCAACAATATAATAATTGTTATACTTACCAATCTTTATTATGATATCCTTACTGTCCTTTTAGTGAGTTCTTAGTAGTTATGAAAGAAAAGAACATTACGGAGCCTTCCTAGACAATATCTGCCTACGCCAAAGTTTCCAGCCTAGGTATTCTCAACTGTATACTACAGTTAGATTTTGTCTAACAGAAAGTATGATTGACTGGAAAAACCATTAAGTAGAGGACATATAGGATATTAACATACCAGTATCCTATTTGCATAGTATACAAGCTGCTTGAGGTTGGAGCTAGTTACTTTTCTGTTGTGAGGGACTGCCAGTACAACTGTTTATTCTTGAAATTTGTAGAATATCTTTGGGGGGCAAAAAGTACAGGTTCTCTTTTGAGAAGAAATAATATAGTTTGATTGACAAAATATGAGCCTGTAAAACTGAAAACCTGACTTTTGAGTTTTTTTGCTGTGGCTGGGAAAATGAGTTGTAACCAAAGTAACTGAGTCAAAAAAGTTTTAATAGATAATGAGCTTTATGTCAATAACTTTTTTAAAAGATTCCTCTAATTCAAAAAAAAAGTTTAATGTTAATCTAAAGCTAGGAAAATTCAGTTTAATGTTACTTAGTCAAATTTATAAATTAATATTTTTCAACCAAGTTGCATTTATAATGTTTTACCAAATCTTTTATTATTTGTACTATGTGGACAGCATGCTTCTTACAGTATCAAGTAGTTATAAAATAACAGGTACAATTTACCACAAACTGAAATAGCTCAACATCCACTTAATTTTCAACTATTACTATTGGTTAAATATGAGTACAAGTGACTAAAGTGATTTTACATGGTAAAAAGTCAATTGTAAGTGTTTTGAGTATTTTGCATATAAAAGCTGATACCGGGGTTGTTAGAGTTTCGGGAATATTTTCTGAGCTATTAGATATATATTCTACATGGCTAGCTAAGTAGTTCAACAAAAATAAATGTTTTGTGGTCAAGGTCTCAGAGCCAGGTTTTCACTTCTACCGGCTCATAATTATTATGATAGTTTTTAGAGTCTTAGGATGTTTGCACTTTTAAATAATTTTTAATATTAGTATTGAAGATAAAAAGGGACTTAATAGTAAAATAAATAGAAGTATTCTAAGAATACTCAGATATGGTGTATAGATATTGAGGTACCTTTCTAGCTTTTAGATATCATTAAGCAATGAAGAATAAACCTTAACAATATAATAAATTTTTAACAAGAATCTTTTATCCTTATACTTTAACCTTTATCTTTACAAGTTTTTGAAAAATACAAAAAAAGAATCCAGCTGAACCTTCCTAGACAGTTTTTCACTTATTAAAAGATTGCAGGTACTAGTTTACCTCAACTCCTATTAGAGTTAGGTAATGCCTAGCAGCTGTATACTACTGTATCTTTTGAATCTAGAATTTAAAGTTAAACATAATATGCAGTAACTTTTTACTTCTAAGATAAAGTTTTTTGAATTTGTGATGATAACTTTTGGTAAATAGTATTTAATTAAATAATTAGCTTTCATTAATATAAATAATTTCTCATAAGCAATCATAGAGATTGTAGGCGCTATTATTTGTATTATATAAGAGGGTCAGAATAAATTACTTGTATACTTGTAATAGGCTATCTTGCCTGATTTGTAAAATCAATGTTTATATACTAATTGGTCAGATTTTTTTTTTTACTTCTAATTTCTCTCTTTAATTTTATAAAAAGATATTCATTCGGATTTACCTGTATTTTTTTTCTCTTCTCTCTTCCACGGGACGTGATAATGGTTTATCGCGAGCGGCACCACATGTGCAGCGATACCGGTATCACATATTTTGCAGCAGCCTTGGCCTTGTTTCTTTGGACAAGGGCAAAACTGAGGAAAAACAACTTGAACGGTTAGTCTATCTGCTATCCCCCGGAGGTCTCAAGAGTCCTGTGGCGTCACAAGTGTTGCCACGCTGTCTGGGTTCTACCGGTGTAGGAAGGCTGATGCTCCAAGGATCTAATTCAGATTCCTGGAGGAGCTCGTTGTTCCTTGGATTAGATCGGGGGCTTAACCGTCGGCTGTTCTCGAGTCTCCTGATTTGCCCGAGTAAGGTATTTGTACTGGGCACTATACCGTACTCTAGTGCTCGAGTACCGTATCGTAACAGTGAACATCTTAACTCACCCGCTCAATACTGTCGAGAGAGCGCGAAAAGGCACTGCAAACTGCCTCCTTTTTTCTGGCAGCAGCAATTTCTGGCTGTGGTCAGACTCTGCTTCTCCTCACTTGAAATTTCGCCTGTGTTTCCAACTCTGTGCCACCAAGAAAAAACAGGTGAAATGTCGTGATCATCTCGGCACACACAAAAAACAAATTACGGTAAATCTGGTTGTGGCCGGCGTCCTCGCCGTGGTTGACCTAGTTGTGACCAAGCTTGTGATTCAAGAGTTCATGGAGCCAATGGCAACCTCGAGAATTCCTACGCTTGGCTTATTGTCAAGCATCTTCAAAGAGGCAAAATCTGTCTGCTGACGGCCTATCATATTTCACCAGTAATATTTGTGACCCGCCCAGCCGCGTCCCAACCGCTGATTTCATGACAATAGCAGAACTTGGAAACCGCCAAAAGCACTTTCAATGCAACCTGAGGCAGGTTGGCAGGGTGGATAGATAGCGCTTGTACCAATCGGGAACTCGGTAATTCAGAACACCAAGGACAATGAAGGCGAAAAAGGTCGGAAAAAGTTCAAATCTTTTGCTTCCAAAAGGTTCAGACTTTGGAGCGCATGTTTGTAATTGAATAGGCGATATGGCGAAAGTTTCATTTATTTCATCTTCGACTCATTGATCACTTGTTGTTTGTGTATTCGATCGTTCGCTGTCACAGGTGGGTTGTAAGGGGGGCTGCGCTTTGTCGAAAATAGGAGTTGCAAGTCCCGCTGTTCAGGGGTGTCCCACACCACACCAATTCTTACGAGACTCACCCACCCACACCATTTTTTCTGATTATCACCGAAAGTGGCCAGCCCTTCACCATTCCGCCCAAAAACCCAGCTTTTTGCATCTCCTAATTTGCCTGCCGCACCATGGGCCGTATTGAACGCATACACCATTTTCCAATGAGCGCTGCGTCCTATGCTGGATGGTGTGCCCACCCTCCCCGTCTGCTTTGATGGCAATAGACCATGGTGCTCCTCTCTCCCTCTTCCCTTCTCTCCTCTCCTCTCCACTCCAGACCCGTCACGATGTATCCCAACACTGCTTGCGAATAGGCTTTATGCTTCAAAAGTCAAAAATATCATTACAACATACCCCGTCGTCAAATCTGCATTTTTCTGTAAGTTTTTTTGAAAAATTTTTCCAATTTCTACGATGCAGGCTCGTTCTTTCCTCGACCGTTTGGCCCTCGAGAGGGTTTACGATGACTTAGCCGAGCCGGTCCTCCTTCTTTGCCTCCCACCGTCTTGTTTTCGATCAAGAAAATTAACAACGCACCAGAAGATCACCCATACAGTATCTAACTCATTCCACACGTCGCCAACCACGTCGTCCCTCGCCTCCTCCACCCTGTTTTATTGCCTCCTTCGTCATTCTGTGAATCCGAAACCATAAACAGAGGCTATATACCTTAGTACCTCCCTGGATCTATATAGCAATGGACTCTCATCCGCCATCACCCCAACCGTCATCACCACGGTCAGATACAAGCTCCCATCAATATTCAGAAGTGCCTACCGAGCCTTTGCCGCCGTCTGAGTTGCGAGTGTTCAACGAGCATATGACTCGACGAAAGCATTTTTTATCCGACTTTGAGAGATACAATCCTGTTCAAAACATGCACGCACTGGCCAATCATGTATTTGATCTTTCAGAAAACGTTCATCGTGTGGGAGATGAAGTCGCTGTGTCGCGTCGCATGCTCGACATGGTTGCAAGTCACCAACGTGATGGAAATCACAACCTCCGGATTATTGGTGAGGACGTCATCGGATTGGAAAAGAGATTTGGAATTTTAGAGAAGGAGATTGGACAACTGAAGGGAAGAGTGGAGGAGACCCACCGTGAAACTCAGCAAGGGTTTGCCGAGATCAAGGGCATGTTGATGTCCCTCGTGGGAGGAGGTGGTGGGTTGCGGGTTTAGGTGTGTACCTGACATGGATGTCGTCAAAAGTAGGCAAGATGCAGTATCATATCTAACTAGGAACATAGCATTGGGACGGCGTTTTTGGCTTGGTTTTTCGGTTGCATATATACCACGGCTACTTTATTGAGTTCCCTCCTCGTCGGATATGTCTTGAGAGGATACATCAATGGTTTTGGAGAGGAATTCCTACTTTCACATAATATCACCATCGAAAGTCGTATATATGTCTATTTGCTGATATATCTTTCTCTGGCTTTTGCATGGTTACGGTGTTGTGTGCAGGGGATATCATCACCATGTACTTTTGGAGTATCTGATTTTTCTGTTGATTGCTTTTTCGCTTTTCTCTCGTTTGTTGACTTCTTTCTGTCTCGGGGAACGTGTTTTCCACGATCCCTTTACATTCATTTGCCCGTGACCCGGGATCGTTGTTGGAAGTGGTTTTGGCGAGAAAGTGGCGGTGGTTCTTGCTTTACCCATTTTTCTCCATTTTTGTTTTTGTTTTCACCGGGCTGGACTGCTGCTCCGCTAGGTTGTCTTGTATGAGTATTAGGCAGGTGTCAGGTATTACTTACCGCGTTTAGTTTACTTAAAGTTGTGATTTGACTTTTGTGTTTGTCTGGGGGCGTGACACAGCAGCATAGCGAACGAAGTTGTGGTATGAGGAGATGAGTATGGTTTGATATAAGTGAACCCGATCCTAGCGTTTGTTTTTTGTTTTAAGGATTCAGGAGATGTCGAGTAGCCCGCAACATATGCTAACCCATTGACAAACTTTGCTTTAAACCCTTGAGTTGCGAAGCACCTTGAGGAGTAGCCGTGATTGTAGAATTATTTGCTGTGAAGTGGAGTGGCGGGGTGGTTGGTGGTATGGTTGTGAAACGAGTGATGTGATAAGTGCGCAAGTCTTCCCCACTCCTCCCTTCCCCTCCCTATTCGGCGCCCTAAGGAGGAACTGGAAGAATCATCTGCTAAATAGTCTATCTCTGCCCCTCGCGGGGGCTCCATTTACTACTGTACGAGGGGAGAGCTGGTGAGCCCAATATCAAAAACTTAGCTCTAGTTGAACAATTTCCTGGACCTGTGGGGAAATTCAGGAGTGTTGATAGGGGACCTGGGGTCGGCTAGCAACCGCAGACCCAGGGTCTGGTCGGGGGCGCAGGGTACGGTTAGGGGGAGGGGTTAAGTTCGCCCTGCATGGTCGATCTCCCGCGTTATGATACCCCCAGATTTATGGTGTGGTAGTCCAGCTGAGGCAACATAGATCTTGGTAACGCCCCCCCCCATCCACCCTCTACCCCCAAACTCCATTGGTTAAACCCAGGTCACCATCAACTCACCCTTCTCCCTTTCCACACCCTGACCGTTCCTCGTCTTACAACAACACCCCGAGTCCCAGATTAGACATTTATATCCTTGAGGATACTGTTTTCCCCCACACGTTGGAAGGGATTTATTTCACTTCCTACGAATGGATTTCTCCCGAAATAGGCTTGCCGAATGCGGGGCCTTCTGTTCTCTATGGGTTCTGGTTTTTTTTTTGTTGTGAAATTGTGGGGTTGTGGAGATTTGGGGCGAAGATGTTTGGGGTTGTGCTCTGTTGGGGGGAGGAAAGAGTGAGTGCCAAGAGTATGACTAAGCACCCACCGCCCCACCTCCTGAACGATCGGCTCCCTACCGGTATCGAGGACTGGCTTCGTAGTTTTGGTTTCCGCTGTATTGTTCTTCCCCGGTCGTCTTTGTATGTTAATAAATAGATATCTGGAATTTAGTGACTTAGATGGTTATGGGGGTCATTTCAGTTTTATAGGAATCTGGTGGCAATCATACGGTTTTCGTGAAAGCGGTGAGATCTGAGTTTTTCTCCTATTCGCTATGAATTTGGAGCAGACTGCTGTGTGATGGGTAATTCATTCTAGATATTAACACGGCAGCGTGGTCATCTACATGGGAGGGGCGTTTTAAAGTTTGGTGGGGTGGGTGTGGGGGGTGGATGGGTAGTTCCCCTGCACGGTCGATCTCCCGCGCATCTGTGGCCCCGATCTATGGTACGGTAGCTGAGTCAACAAGATCTTGGTAACGTCCCCCCCTTCTACCCCCAGCTCCCATGCATGGACTTAGGTCACCTCCTACTCATGCCCTTCCTCCCTCCCTACATCCTGGGCATTTCCCGACTTCTAGCATTCTCATTCGAATCCCTGATTCGACGTTCATACCTCTATGGGTACTATTTTCTCCCAGACGTTGGAGAGATTTTATTTCGCTTCCCGTGAACGGATTTCTTTGGAAATGTGTTTACTGGATGCGGGATCTCTTGCTGCGTATGGACCATCTTTTCTTTTGCTGTGGGATTGTGTTGTTGTGAAGTTGTGAGGTGGTGAAGTTGGGTGTTTCGCTAGGCTGGGGCGGGGGAATGGTGGGTGCCAAGATAGATGACTAAGCGGTCGCCGCGCTGGGGCACCTGAGGATTGGGGTGGATGCTAAAGGTCGAACTCATGCTTTTTTGGGTACCTGGGGTATTGTCTTACTATATTACCTTCTGTAGATACATAGGCGGAACTGGGGATTGCTGGAATTTATAGATTCGGAGTGTGAGGCTCATTCCACGGTTTTCTGGGAACGCGGGTGTCAATCATCGGGTTTTCGTGAAAACCGCAGGGTCTTTGGCACCCCCAATTCCACCGTGTGAAAAGGAATGCCCTATTATAATCAGTTACGATCACTAGCCTGGGGAGTGTGTGCCCCCCAGGGGAAGGAGGGTTAAGATTTGGTAGTGTGGGTGTGGGTGTGTGGGTAGATGGTTGGTTGCCCTGCACGGTTGATCTCCCGCGGGTGGCTGCCCCCAGATCTGTGGTAAATTTAGCTGAGTCAACATAGATCTTGGTAACGCTCCCCCTTCCTCCCCTCCATAACGCTAGGTCCGATAGACAGGACCCGGGTCACCTCGGGCTTACACCTCTCTCCCTTCTTCCACCCTGACCATTTCTGGTCTCCCCGCAGGCTTATTCGAATTCTAGATTGGACGTTTATACTCCTGAGAACGCTACTTTCTTTTAAACTTTGGAAAGCTTTTATTCCACTTCCTGCAAATGGATCGCCTTGTAAGTGGGCTTAACAGATGTGGGCTCTTCCGCCCGATGTGGGTCAATTTTGCTTTTATCGCGGGATTGTGTGGTTGCGATGTTATGGGTAGTCGAGGTGGGATTGTTCTGGTCTTGGGCGGGGGGATTGGGGTGCCAAGACGGATGACTAAGCGCCCACCGCTGGAGACCTCTCTGGGGATTGAGGCCCCTGTCGGATGGGTCGCACACTCTCTCTCCCTGTTTCGCTACTCCCTTCCACTACAAGTACTTCGTGTAAGCAACTGGTTTTATAGGTTTTTTGAATTTCATGAGCATAGATACTCTGGTGGCACGGGAGTGATTGGAGGAATTTCTGGAAATAAGGTGTCAATCATCAGTTTTCGTGAAAGATGTGGGATTTCGGGTCTCCCAAATTTCGCTCTGTGAGCAGGAAGCAGGCTATCCCATAATAATAATCAATTACGACAGTTAGGCCTAGAGTTGTCGGTACGGTGCTTGGGCTGGGCTGTTTAAGATTGGGTGGTGGGGTAGGGTGGATGGCTCCCCTGCACGGTCGATCTCCCGCGAGTCGCCCATAGATCTTTGGTACGGCAGCTGAGTCAACCAGATCTTGGTAACGACTCTCCCCCCTCCTCTGCCCTAGGTCCAATGGATTGGACTTAGGTCACCTCATACTAACACCTTTCCCTCTTCTTACACCCTAACCGTTTCCCGTCTTCTGACACCCTTGTTTGAACATCGGATTGGACGTTGGTATGTTCGAGGGCACCATTCTCTTCAAAGCTTTCTGGAGCCTTTATCTTATTTTTTGCGAATGGATTTCTTTGGAAATAGGTTTACTGGATGCGGAATCTTTCGCTCCAAATGGGCTAACTTTGCTTTTGTCGTGGTATTGTGTTGTTGCGAATTTGTGGGGTGGTGAAGTTGGGGTTGTGTCTTGTGAGGTCTGGGAAGAGTTGATGCCAAGAATATGACTAAGCGATTCCCTAGTGAACACTATGTGAGGGACTGGAGCCGAAGGCTTTGGTTTACAGCTTTGGTATGTGTCGGGTTGTGGAAGCTGTGGGGGGTGGAAGTACTGCAGGCATACTGGATGGCTCGATAGCTTACTAGAATTTACTGATTCGGGTAAGGTGAAAATAGTTCGCTGTTTTCGGGGGACTTTCGGGGGACCGGGTGTCGATTATCAGCTTCCATAGAAATTTTGGGTATGAGTCTCCCCATTCTGCCGTACTAACATATACTAACGTAGAGAAGATTATCGTATGATATGATATATAATAACTGGACGACGCAATAGCACGGGGGTGTGTTGACTGCTTGGGAAGGGGCATTTAAGATTTGGTGGGTGGGTGGTTCGCTCCCTGCAGGGCTGATCTCCCGCTCTTGCCCCCAGATCTAGCTGAGTCAACATAGATCTTGGTAGCGCCATCCACTTCACCCCCAGGTTCCATGGATAGGACTTGGGTCACCTATAACTCACACACCTCCCCCTTCCTACATCTTTGCTGTTGCGGGTCCTCTCACACCTGAATTGAAATTCCTGATTGGTTGTTCACTTGGTTCACGGTACCTTTTTCTCCCCGCATTTGGAAGGCTTTCGGTTTACTTCCTATGAATAAATTTCTTTGGGAATTGGGTTACGAATCCGGTAACCCTTGTACCGTATGAACCAACTTTGCTTTAGTTGTGGGATAGTGTAATTGTGAAGTTACAGGGTGGTGAAATTTGGTGTTGTAGTTGTGTTGGTTGGGTTGATAGTTGGTGCCAAGACAGCTGGATGACTAAGCGCTCCCCGTGGTTGAAGTTCAAGTGTTATTAAGGGCTAGATCCTGTGTTTCGGTTCTACCTATATCGCCTTCCTCCGTGGCTTCTATCATACCAACTTAGCAGATGGCTTAATGGACTATTGGGATTTACAAATTCGCAGGTTCTGAATATTTGATGGTCTTCTAGGCGTCCCGTGTCAATCATCGGCCTCCGGGAAAGTGGTGGGATAGGAGTTTTCCATATTCCACCGTTTAAATAAGAGGCAAATTACCGTATAATAATCCTTCACGGGCACTAACACGGTAGCGTGGCTGTCTGCGTGGGAAGGACTATTTACAATTTGGTGGGGTTGTGGATGTGGGTTGTCTCCCCTGCACGGTCGATCTCCCGCTCGCTGTTTTTAGGTCTATCATAGCTGAGTCAACATAGATCTTGGTAGGGGCCCTCCTTCGCCCGCCAGGTCCCATGGATGGGACTTGGGTCACCTCCCACTCACACTCTGCTCCCTTCGTACATCCTGGACCTCTCTCGTTTTCCGATACCGAATTCGAACACCCGATTGGGTGTTTATGTACCTATTGTCACTATTTCGAACCAGCCTTTGGAAGGGATTTATTCCGTATCCTACGCATGGATTTGTTTGGAAATGGGACTATCGGATGTGGGACCCTTCACTGCCTGTAGACTATCTTTGCTTTTGCCGTGGGATCGTGCGGTTGTGGTGTTGTGGGGTGGTGAAGTTGGGGTTGTCATGGTGCTTGAAGGGGAGTGGTGGATGGATGACTAAGCAACTGCCGTGCAAGGATGTCTAGGGGAGAGTTTGGCCTTTCCAAAGTTGGGGGTTAGGACACTCGGGTATATATTATACGATGGTTGTGGGGTTTTTTGTTAAGGCGGGAACGAAAGGCTCCGTTAACCTTGTGCAGAGATGCCAGTACAGGTATTGTATTAATATTACAGAAATTTAAGCTCCTTGTATGAGACCAACTATTTGGTTTTCGCCATCCTAATCACTTACTTGAGTACTTGGGTTTAGGTTCTGTAGTCTCCATCTTTACTCTACCCAAATTTACTACTTCGTGTCCCAGAACCAAAGTGATTCAACGGCCAAAAGAAGCAACATTGACAAACCAACAAAACTTTCCACCTCTCAAAACCCCTTAAAAACCCGATATAGGATATCCTGAGTAGTTAGAATACTGACCGCTGATCTGTTATAACCCCAGAGTTTTCATAAGCTCATTGGTTTCGTATACATCCCAATTCTCCATGTTATTAATCCCACCACTGGTAGTTCTTAAAATATGCAGAGATCTTTTAGTCCACCTGAGAGAGGGTTACAAGTATACACTGACATCTCTCTCGGCACAGATATACAGGGAGAATGTGTGCGATGAGGCAGAATCCCGCTACTAAGCTGCAAGTGCTGTACAGCACTGGAATACTACTACAGTACAGTAAACTAATCAAAGGAGTGGCTTAGTATGCCAGAGTTGTGCAGTTGGTA